ATATCAGCGAAAGGCAATTATGCATTCGTGTATTTTTATATCAGTCTGTGTAGAATCTTAAAGGATTGGCGTTACAACACTAATTATAAAATGAATAGGGTTATTCATCGTGTATATAAAGCTATTAATGGATGGAAAACCAGACGCGGATACGAACAAAGTCCGTTTTCCACTATGTAACCCTGCAATAACTGAATAAAGCCACTTATATCTCTTTATTTTATATTTATTTGTACTTATATAATTTATAATAAGACAAAATTTATCTTGAAATTCTGACTCGATATTGGAAGAATCGAGTCAGATGGTATTTTATGTATAGTGCAAACATTAGATTATTTAATTGCCCCAGATATTTACGGATGGAACTGGTTTCAACAGGTTCCTGGTAGTATCTTTGTTATGCAAGACGAAAGAGTTCTGATATTGCCATCTTGGCAACAGAGGCTTCAAAACGATAACTACAAAAACTGGGTTAAGATAGGATATGGGATTGACTTGGTGTGTAAAGCAATACGACCATACGTAGAAAAAGAAGCGAAGGCATTCCATGGCATAGTGACAACCAGTCTTCATGGACTTCCTCTCTGTACATGTACTTACACGAGACATCCTTATCATAATATGATTACCTGCTTGTGGGCTAAGGAGCTGTTGAATTATCACACAAAAGGAAAGGCAACATGGAGTCAAAGTAATGCTTCACTATGGAATGACCCCAGTGTTGGTCACTGGGAGGTAGCCAAACTGTACATGCCCTAYGGTTGTGCTAAAGGGAATTCCTGTGCAGAGACTGATGCTACTGGGCTCCTGAATCTTTTGTACTGGTGTAACTATTATAAGACTGACACTATGCTTGTAGAAAAGTTMAKKGACACAAGAAATGCATGGGGACACGCACCCAAACAAGAGTTTGATGCAACTGMAACAAATRATGCTTTCCTGTCTATGAAGGATTTTCTACAAGATGCAGAGTTTAGTTCAGATCCTGATGTTATTGACGCCCTTAATGAGGTCACAAAACTGGAGAGTGATACCCTCATAGATTTTAAAGATATCGAAGTCCAAGCGATAAACCACTTAAAAGATTTCATCATTTCTATCAAAGATGAAATCATCGAAAAAGTGGATCGAAATGCMGCTCATRCGACAGAAATAAAAGACATTCTTCATTTTTGCATGAAAGGTGATGCCGATCGAGACAACGTTCTTAGTGACATACAGAACAGAATAGAAACAATCGAGCTAAGGGAGCAAGAGAAAAGCAAACAGAATAGATGGATTCTGAATACCCTTGAGAAAATCTTTAACAGCTTCTTTCTGTTGATCGTGAAACTGTTGATAGCGTATTTGACTGTGGGCAAAATAATTCCAAGTCGGGCCAGAGTCTTATTTCTCTTCCTGGTGCTGAGTGTAACCATTCTTGAGGAAAATACGGTAGATTCTGGTAAGTATTTGGTCTTGGGTTTACACTAATACGATTTGAAAATGCTCACGTTCGTAAACACTCTTTATAGCGGTGAGATATTTGGAGACGAAGCCCTTAAGCATTGTCTTAATACAGACAGTAAACATTTGCAATTGACATGTGAATAGAATGGTTGTACGTGTTGCTGGTGTCCCCTTGTGAAAGGAAGAAAAAACAAGGTTTAGCCTTGTCCCTATAGGCATCAGCATGTAGATCATTCTCAGATCCACCAGAATACATTCTCCTTCCCTCTAGTAAACAGTTTTCTCACAATATTTTCAGTCAACCCACAACAACAAGATACAAAATGTGAAGTTAGATTTATACCCAAAACGCGGCTTAGAACCCCACCGCTGTCAAATAGGGGTGCTAGGGCACCCCCGCCTTCTCCACCTCCTATAATGCAATAACAAAGGACTCAAAAGTCACTTTTATATTTTACTGAACTGTAGATTGTGAAAGAAACAAGCTCTACGATATCGATCCATTTGAGCTGAAGCAATTTGATTTCACTGAGTACCTGAATCGAGCAAGAGAAGGTTTCGTTGGACGCCAGTGGTTGTTCAATACTATTACAGAATCAATCGAACAAAAGCATAAAGAATCCAGAGGAGTCTTGATCGTTGGTCCACCAGGTTTTGGGAAGTCGGCACTGATATCAAATCTGATTTGCTCAAAACTGTCAAGACTTTCATTACACAGCCAAATTCTAGGATACCACTTCTGTATTCATTCTGACAAAAACACTTTGAATGGTGCCAAGTTTGTTCGTAATCTGGCAAACATGATAGCATCGAGATTACCAAATTATAAAGACTTATTGTATAAGGAAAAGTTTATACAAAGAATTCTCAAAGTTGAATGCTTGGGAGATCCAACAGGATGCTTCGAGCAAGGAATTCTTGCTCCATTGCTGAAACTTCAACTAAGATTTGAATATCCAATGTACATAGTTGTTGATGCATTAGATGAATGCCTAGACGAAAAGGAAAAAAACACTGGAAGAACTATAGTGGATGTCCTTCAGCATAAAATAAAACAATTTCCATCCTGGCTAAAGGTCATTACCACCACTAGAAACCAATCAAACATACGAAGAAAGCTTAGGAATCTTGATTTGATTGAACTTCATCCTGACGATCCAGAAAACTTGCGAGATATCGAAAGGTTCCTAACTTCAAAATTAGAGGGGTCTATTCAATCTCGGGTAAGGAGTTACGTCCTCTCAGGCAAAGATACGTCAGTTTCGGACCTTGTCCAGAAAAGTCAAGGAAACTTCCTATATATTAAACTGATTTTGGAATATCTGCTCAAAAGAGAACTAACAGATAAAAGCCATCTTCCAGATTCTATAAATAGCGTCTATCAAGATTTTTTTGAACGGAAATTTGATTCACTTGAAAAATTCAGTGCACCTCGTACAATATTTGAGATTTTAGTTGCTACAAAGTCGCCGGTAACTGTTATGGAGTTGTATGACATTCTTTCCGATGAAAAAAAGGATTTTGGTTTGAACTACGATTTGCTACCAGTTCTAGAAGATCTGTCAATGTATCTTCTCTATACAGAGGACAGACAGTCGATCGTTAGTGTCTTTCACAATTCCCTCACTGAATGGCTAACAAGTGACTCAAACAAGGGCGGAGTTTTCTATGTAAATGAAAAGAAAGGAAGCAGAGCCTTAGCTAATCACTTTTTAAAGGTATTCAATGGAAATTTCAGCAAAGTCATTCCCAAGTTTATCTTCGATCTAACTACGTACATTGTTGTTGGAGGACATCTAAAGAGGCACACGGATAGCTTCCTTAAAATTGATCCTACGTTAATCAAAGTTAAAGACAAACGTACTGGTTTTACTGCACTCCATCTTGCTGCGGAAGCAGAAGACGAAAAGGTACTAGGTATGTTGTTAAACATTTTTAAAGATGCAAATGTCGAAGATATTAAAGGACGTACGGCTGCATTTATGGCAGTTACATTTGGTCGTTTCAACAACCTACGTCTACTTCACGAGAAAGGAGCATCTTTGTCTCGAGTGACAAAACGGCTGCCAGTTGTCAAAAAGAGCAAAATTGATGATGCTCTGGAATGCAAGCGTCAAATGTGTGGATACTCGCTGCTTCATGTGGCTGCTCAAAAGGGTCACAAAGACATAGTCGAGTACCTTATTAACAATGGCAGTGATGTGTCTTTGTTGTCAGCAACGGGTAACAGCGCCGTGCAACTTGCAGCTGAATTTGGTCATATTGAAATCGTCGAGCTGTTGTTACTACATGGGGCAGAGGTAGACAACACTTGTCTTTACTATGCTGCTTTATATGGGCAAGTTGAGATCGTAGAGTTTCTATTAAAAAAAGGAATCAAAGACTCGTGTATTCGATGTGATGGCATCGATGATCAGATATCAGACTTTGTTCGAAATTGCAATACAGCTTTGCATGCAGCGGCCATTGGTGATTACCCAGATGTGATAGAAACTCTGCTCACTTCAAAACATAATGCAATCAATTGTGTAAATTATTTTGGCAAAGAGCCAATCCATGAAGCAGTTCATCACAACAGTTATCGAGCAGTAAATGCGTTTCTAAAGCATGGCGTTGACACTTCGAATAGATGTAAGCTCAAATTTCGTGGATACACTCCACTGCATCTGGCAGCACATCATGGCTTTGCTGCCCTCACGAGTTTGCTTCTGGAACACAACGCTGATTATAATGCGACAGACTGTGAAGGCTCGCAGCCAATTCACGTTGCTTCTTGTCAGGGACATGGAGACGTAGTGTCTGTTCTTGTCGAACATGGCGCAGATATCAACAGCAAAGGTCCAAATGACATGACTCCCATCCATTATGCTTGCCGATGTAAAGCAACGGAAATATTTGATAAACTTTTTGAGCTTAATGCTAATGGTTTAGCACTCACTGCAGACGGAAAGACACCTTTGCATTTTTTGATTCAAGAATATTTTATAGATAAGTTTTATTTTGTTGATCCGCATGCTGTAAATCCGATTGACCCAGTTACCTTTGATTCGTCGGAAGATAAAGCTGTCAAGTCGCACATGAGAGAACATTTTTGGCTTACATCTTCCACAAAGTTCCTTCAGTCGTTAACTAAGTCCCGTGATATCACTTTGTCTGAATTGGGGACAGTTCTGGGGCCATTGCAGTCATTTCTCTCATATGGAAGTGTTCTCCCTAAAAATATCATTGGTAAAATATCGATAATTTTGCTTGGAAGTGATCGGCACATAAACGCTAGACTTGTCGTTATCTCTACGCCTGCCCCATTTCCTGTTGACATTGGTTTGGCATCCTTTTTACAAAACCAACATACAAATTTGAATAAACTTAGCACAACAAATGTTTTGCCACCTTTCGTGAGAAAAGGTTTTTCAACGGCACTTATGACAATGACGGGGAAAATAAACTTTGAGTGCCCGATGTTAGCAGCCTTCATCCATCACAATATGGTGTATGCTGTTGATGCGTTTTTACAATTAGGAATGGATGTCAATTGTGAGGAGTCTGGCCTAAGCCCACTTCTTGCTTATCTAAGACAAGGGGGACGTAACATGGCGAAAGTCCTCGCGAAACATGATGTTACTGTTGACATACGATGTGGAGAATATTTCCAAGATTCCGTATTTCATCTTGCTGCCTATCACAAGTTGCATTATCTTCAGTATCTTTCAATATTCGTAGATCCCATTAAATGGGAAGAGTACCTGAAAGAGGAACATGCGTTGTTTGACTATCTTTTCGATGTCTATGATGAAGTATCCACCGAAGGGCAGCTTAAGTTAAAAAGAGTTCGAGATGGTCCTGTAACCATAGCAATCAAATCCAATTTCCGTGGCTTCAAGATTATAGACGAATGTCTCGATAATGACGGCTACACAGCTCTTCAACGAGCAGCCCAGGGTGGGAATGTTGTTGCTGTCAAACACTTTTTAAAATGGGGCGCAAATCCTTCCTTGGAAAGTCCAGAAGAATTTGACGCTTTGGTTTTGTCAATATGGTATGCAATCAAATACCGACCTTACTTCGATCTTTTTAGACCAAGTCTTTTAACATCAATGGAAGTCGAATTTGCATCTCTCACTGCGAGTGTCATTTTGAAGCATTTGACCAAGAACAAACCATTTGACATTGGATGTGATGAGAAGAGAATTACACCAACACTTATGCATTTAGCAGCCACTCGTGGAATGTGGAGGTTCATAGATGACTTGTTTGTTTCGAAGGATCATTGGAGTGTAACTGGTTTAACTGCTAATTGCCCTACAATGGATAATATTACGCCCATGTACTTAGCCAAGCTGCATGGTGGGGAGAATTGTGACTGGGATAATCCTTGGTGTAAAGTAGTTGGAGTGTTATCACAATTTGGAGGGTCCATGATTTACCCTGACCGTGTAACTGAGTACTTTCTAATCCTCAATTTCTTGTTCAATGATCTCCCAGAAAGATTTTACATTAACGAATTAAACCATGAGGAAATTCAATTACTTGGTGATAGCAAAGAGTGCAAAGACTTCCAGGAAGAGGGACATATTCTTACAGGCAAATCTCTTGAAGATATTCTTTTCGACGACTATCTTAACCTTTCCTATGATTACCCTCTAGAATCACAAGATGAACAGTTTAACTCAATGAAGTCACAATACGTTGAAATTATTTTGAGACTAAGAAAAGAGGAAAGTAATTTCCGATCAACAAAGCTGGACTATTATATATTCTTGACAAACAAGCTGATTAATTTGAAATGGAGTCTTCATTTCTATAGAAACATTGATGACAGTATACTGAAGTGTGTGCCTCATACCATGGAACCAATTCCCAAATACCCAACCATTACAAATCTTAATGCCCAACACTTTTTGCCAACAGAAGAAAACTTCGCAAAAGAAAAGGTAAAGTCTAATCACATGGATGATGACGAAAACATCGTAGATGCCTTTATGTCCATTCCAGATATGTGTTCTTCAAAGTCAACAGTCGATTTCGAAACTCTTGATAAAATTTCACACAAAAATCGCCTGATTTTCAACAAACATTACAAAGCATTTGCCAAAAAACTCGAAATTGCAAAACAAAAACTTCGACAAAAGAAAGTTAGAGTCGGAGTATTCGACTCTGTGGACAATCTCTTTCACGACTTTGAAAGTACGATGCATTGCCAAATGAAGGATGTCACCTACAAATATGCAAGATTCAAGTTTCTTTTACATACAATGAAATTCTGGAGCGTACAAGTTAAAAAGCTCGATATGTATCCGCTCATTCCAAAATTTGCTTCAGAAAGGATCCAGGAAATCTTCCAAAGCGAAGAACAAAAAGAGATGCTTCCTTTTATCATCAAACTAGCAAAGGTTGATCCTTCAGATCAGTATGAACATTTGAAAATGTTTAGATTTTCTGCACCTCCATTAGAAGAAAAGTTTAGGGAGCCAGACAATCAGAAGTCTAGCTAAAAATAGGTTCTATACCCTGAAATATTATTATTACAATCAACTGTATCAATGAAAATTTATGTTTTTTTCTGAAATGGTCCGCTATGCTTGCATGATCGATGCTGTTATAAAAGCTGGAAATTAATATGCTTTCGTTAAAGGCTTTTTTCTTAATATTAATTAGTCATCGCCATATCAATGAATACATGTACAATCACAATAAATTAGTACTTTCACACTTTTCTACACAAGTTTCACATATTCTTGTTGAAGTCATTCAAATCAATTTTAAAGACAATTAGGTCGCTAACTTAAATAATAATAAACTAAATTTATTTGTACATATTGTGTCTAGCTTGTTAGTCGTTGTTGTCTTTGGATTAGGCAAGATACCTATGGCGTGGCTGGCTTGAGAGGCCCTCACTCTGAAATCCTGTCCAAAATAAGAGAAATAGTATTAAAGTTCCTATCACCCTTCTGACAATATTCTCAGTATTGATTCTACATGGGGTAAGATGTTGAATAACCCGAAAAAATTACATAGTTTGAGTGCGGATTCTTAAAGTTATAAAGGTTTTTCCATGCCATATGCTAATGTTGTGACGTATGAGGAGTAATCATTTAATATACAAAACCTTACTGGTACAGATAAATTAAATTTGAAATACGTCATTGTTTTCCCCATTGCTCTTATCGAAATTATTGCAAGTTAGTTTTCACATAGAAGCCGGTGTTTCGAATTACAAGGAACAACAAATAACCATAAATGCCTCCTCATACGTCACGGCATTAGCATATGACATGGAAAAACCTTCATAACTTCAAGAAGCTGCACTCAAGCTATGAAATTTTTTCAGGTTATTCGACATCTTATTCCATGTAGAATCAATACTGTAAATATTGTCAGAAGGGTGATAGGCACTTTAATATAAAAAAAGCATCAACAATTGCACAATTCTATCTGCTACATCTTTACGTACTGATCTTCATTGCGGTTTAATTATCTTTATGCATGGACTGTGTATCATTTAAGTTGGGGAATGAAAGATAAATTAACCATAATGATGGAAAAATACTATAATATTCGCTTATTTTGTAAAAAAAAAATCTTTTGAAGAATACTAGACTGTATTTGGTAAGGATAGCCTTTCATGAATTAAGTTTTTTACCAAATAAACGATCCCACAACATTGAAAATAAAGCCAATAACCACTTATGCGATCATATGAACATCATCAACATATGATCATCATCACAACGTCATCATATTCTCACCATGGCTCCATCACCATCATCGATGTCATCCTGGTCTTCACAGCATTATGAGCATCAGAAGCACCAGCAGCAGATCTTCATCACAACCACTACCACCATCATTATTAATGACAACATCTTTGTTATCATCACTGAGCAATAACAGCACCTGTACAAATGTTGCGTGGGGATCACAAAGAATGCTACAACTTGCGTTTCAAGGATTTGGCAACTGAAATGATTGCATCGAACCTCACAAAAAACTTTAATCCTCTTCTCAAGATGAGGCAATCGCAATCTCGCCGACACGTTAAAAAATCAAAAAAAAATCACTTTTATTTAAGTGTCTAGTGGTTCTAGCGCTTTCGCACTAATTGGGGACATTTTTCACTCGCACTACCACTACATTTAATATTCTATGCACACAACGCTCAACTCACTCAACTAGTTGATATCAACGTCTAACTCAATGAAATTGAGTGAGACGCATTCCAGACATGTGTTCATCTACAACTGAAGTTTATTTTGAAAGGTTAGGGAAGCTTCTTGAGAAAAACAGGCACTCATATAACAATCGTTACGAGGCTTTCATAGAAAAAATTAAAGATGAACAATATTCTTCGAGACAATTTTATTCAGTTTGGGACAGGGAGTATTCACTTGCCGTTCAAAAAATGTTTCACCCTCATGAGAAGAAAATGTTTTGCCAACAACAAGAAATTACCTATCAATATGCAAGGCTAAAATTTCTTTTGCATACACTTAAATTTTGGAGCTCTCAAGTCAGAAGAAATGAAATGTTCCCAATTATTTCAAACTTTACATTCGAGAGAATAAAAAGGGTTTTTATAAAAAACAACAGAAAACAAATGATTAATCTTATTTTAAGACTAGCAAAAACCGACCCTTTAAATGAGTATGAGTACATGGAGATGTTCAGGTTTTCCGATCCACCTCTGAAAGAAGTGTTTCAGAATTAGCAAAAGATAAGAGTTCATCTCGTTGGCTGTTTTTAGGGCTTTCAGGATGTTGTGTGGGGAAAAATGAATTATTTTTAATCACACGGCCGCCATGTTTATTCTCATGAGAATAAAAACCTTTGTTTCCCCAGCATAAATTAATTCTCAAGCGCTTGAATTTGAGGCTACGCGTGGTGGAATCTGTTGTTCAATCCAACATGGCTGCCCCATGAATAAGGCCCATTTTACAATGTTAAGATAAACGCTTGCAACTATAAACAAAGTGTTTATTATTTTTTAATGTTCCATATTTTCTATTTAAATTTAGAATATAAGTTTATAATCATAATCAAAATTAGCGGCACTAAAATGACAAAAGGGAATCTTAACTAATAATAGTAGTAGTTATCTTTAAATATTTTAAAATAGTCTTTGACAAACTTTGTTGGCTTCACTCAGGAATGAACACTGATGCAACGCCTGGAACATTCTGTGAAATAAGAATTAAGGAAACAAATAATCAGTAAAATAGTATTGTAGTTCAATAGTCCCCTTCACAGTTCCCTGCGCCATCTTGTGAATAATGAACATGAACATGTGAATAATTGTCCAAGGTGTTTAAAAAATGATCTCTATCATTGCAAGCTCACCGTTCGTCTCGCTTCGATGCAAAGGTACGGCTACCTTTCAAGATGGCGCAGGGAACTGTGAAGGGCAGTCTATTAAAGCCAATTGCATGGAGCAGTTTTGATTTGTATCATTATTAAAAAACTATGCACTTGTCATGCTGTGATCTTGATGCGCTGTTCTCAGTTATTATGGCACCGTAGACCGCAGACCGCCGAGCTTAAGAAGGCTAATCTAGATCTGTGGTGACAGCGATTCCCTTTGTACCATCAATGCCTTGCCGTGTCCAGCAAACATGCCATTTTTCATGCGCGTATCAAAACTGATTTATGTCTTTAAAAGGACCGAAAACAGATTGAGGGAAGCCTAAGGGGTCCGCTTAGATGGGAGAAAAAAAGTAGACTAGTATATATAAGGTGCCGGGCTTAATTTAACTTGAAAATCTAATACCAATAGACATTAGCCAAAACTGGGGTGGGACTTTAGCATCGAAACACATTCCTCTTCGCACAGTAACGCGAGAAACATCCAATTTCTGCAGGTTTTAGTTTGTAGACGTAGAACCTTCCACTGTTACGGACTTTGATTGGTTCCTCCCCAACACAACAGTTATTTTGTTCTGGATAATAAATGCAAACCTTGGCATCTGTGATACCTTGAGACGGCTGAGGATGGGATCCCTGTGGAATATCATATAACACACGATGTCAAGGTGTCAAGGTGTCAAGGTGGTGGTGGTAGTGGTAGTGGTAGTGGTAAGGTAAGGGTGGTAATAGGGGACTGAGGTACATGGTGGTAGTGGTGTTGATAGCATTAATGGTAGTGGTACTTGAAGCTGTGGTAGTAGCTTTAGTGGTAAGGTGAAGGTGGTAATAGGTAATAGGTACGTGAAATACCTAACCGTTAGGAGATCGTTACTTGAAATACCCAACCGTTTAGAGATCGTTACGTGAAATACCTAACCATTAGGAGATCGTTACTTGAAATACCCAACCGTTTAGAGATCGTTACGTGCAATACCTAACCGTTAGGAGATCCTTACTTGAAATACCTAACCGTTAGGAGATCGTTACGTGAAATACTTAACCGTTAGGAGATCGTTACTTGAAATACCTAACCGTTAGGAGATCGTTACTTGAAATACCTAACCGTTAGGAGATCGTTACTTGAAATACCTAACCGTTAGGAGATCGTTACTCGAAATACCTAACCGTTAGGAGATCGTTACTTCAAATACCTAACCGTACCAGATGTAAATGTGTGAAGGAATAAAGAAATAATTTTCGTTGTACGCTTTCTAATCGTTAACAAAATATGCGAAATCCAACTATTGATTAGAATTTTCCGCTACGATATGATTTCATTCAGGCTCATCGTAGAGTCGTTAGTCTACTTTAGTCACACAGTCGAATGCTTGATAAAACAAAAACAACATGAAACATGAGCTACTATAGTGTATTCTTAATAAAACAATCTGCTCTAATGCAATTTTTGACTGCGATACCTTGAAGGTGTCGCTAAACGTAACATGAAACTACTTTATGTCAATCAAAGCTTAAACTTTTTTGACCAAAGCTCCTCATGCAAATGT